TTTCAATAATTCAAAAACTATTGCATACTCTGTACTTGAGACAATAATATTTCTCGCTAAGATTTAATTATAAAACAAGATATAATATCAACTATCAACTGATCAATAAGACAATAACTAAAAACAAGAGTTGCTCAATGGCATTTATCTAAGCCTGTTCAATGTCCTTCAGAAACTTGATTTTGATCTTCTTCAGCTTGACAACAGTTTCTTTCATGTCAATCCTCTCCTCTGGCAAATCTGCAGGACATTCCACTCCTAATTGCAAAATGGACAAGACACAATCCTTTGCAGCCAAGTGTTCTCTCCCTCTAGAACTTAGCAAATTTGTATCCACAACTTGAATTAATGCAGATGGTAAAGACTGTTTCACCCAATACTTCAAGCTCATTTCTCCTGAAAACATTTTATCGGTGGGCTTTTTTCTTGTGAAAGTTTCCATTAGAAGAATGCCAAAACTATAGACATCTCCTTTTACGGAAATGATCCCTTCTGCTCCATACTCTACATATTGAATTTAAATTCATCAGCAATTATTAAATTAAGTATACATTTATGTTGCATGAAAATGAAATGATAAAAAAGGGTCAGAAATTTAATCATAAATTGAATGACTATGTATATGCCCATGAGGAAAACATAGAGGTATTACCTGGTGCCATATACCCAATAGTTTTCAGTGTCATGGTTTGTATTATTGAGTCCTCTTCACCTAATAGTTTTGCGATGCCAAAATCACCTAAATGTGCACCCATATCTTCGTCTAGAAGGACATTGCTAGGCTTCAAATCGCAATGCACCACAGATGTTGTATGACCATGATGGAGATACTCTAAAGCTGATGCAACATCGATCATTATGTTCAACCTTTGCAAAATATCAAGAAAATGGTTGTGAGAATACAACCACTCTCCAGGCTTCCATTTGGCACGAATTCTAGTACCAAAGCTTTGAAATCAAGATTACAACAACTGCTGATGATTTTGACCAAACTTCTATGGCGAATGTTTCGGAGGACCTCACACTCGACTTCAAAGCTCTTAAAGGCTTTTTCTAACTCCAAATTGAAGACCTTCACTGCAATGCTCATTCCATCTCGGAGTGTGCCTTGGTATACAGAGCCAAAACTTCCAACACCAAGCAAATTGCTCTCACAAAATCCATTAGTTTCTTGTTGAAGCTCGTGATATGGAATTCTTCTCCCTGTTTCTAAAGGCAAAATATCTCCATGAGTTGGCAAGCTTTCTTTCCTTTTTCGGCTTTGCTTAAAAATGACAATCAAGGCCAGTATTAATGTTGTTGTGGCAACTGCCGTTGGTTGAATGTATGCTAGAAGCTTTCTAATCTTCCTGGATTCATGACTATGCGCATTATTTTTGCATGGTGGTAGGTGCAATCGAGCAGCACCACACAATGCTTGATTCCCCATAAATGATTGAATCGAGTAGTTTGAAAATGGTCCTCTCCCTCAGGAATCTCCTCTTCTAGCCTATTGAAAGAGACATTAAAATATTTGAGATTCCAAAGTTTTTCCAGAGATGCAGGAATCTTTCCTGATAAATTATTTCTTGACAAATCCAAGAATTCCAAGTCTATCATGTCACCAGTCGACTGAGGAATAGAGCCTTGCAATTTATTACCAGACAAGGAAAGATGAGTTATGCCCTTGAGATCCCCAATGCCCAACGGAATATCACCTGATAATTTATTTCCTGATAAATCCATATCAATCACAACCTGCCATTTTCCAATATCAATTAGGAGAGTACCGCTTAGAGAATTTGAAGACAAGTTCAGGTGCAAAATATCTTCCAGTATTGTCAAGGTTAATGGTATTGAGGATGAAAGTCTATTAGATCCTAACAAAAGAGATCATATAGAACTGAGATTACCCAAGCATTCTGCTATTGGTCCAGAGAGTTTGCTGTTGGTGAGAAATAAGAAACTCAAGCTCTCCAAACGACATAAATCAACAGGGATCGATCCTTCTAAATTATTGTCTTGAAGAGAAAAATATTGCAGCCCTCTTTTTCTTCCAACTGTTGTAGGAATTGTTCCAGTCAATTCATTGTTATCTAGGTTCATGCTCAACAAGCCACTTAAGTTCCCAATTTCAGTCGGGATGCTGCCCTTGATGTTGCACCCAGTGGCAGAGAAAACTTCAAGAGAACCTGACAAATTTCCTATTGAATCTGGAAGTTTAGTATTGATTAATGGATTCTCATCAACGTATATGTTTTCCAAGTATCGACAATTTGTCAAAGATGAGATAAACTCATTTCTGGAGATGAAAGTTTACAAGAGAAATTATTATCCTGGAGGTTGAGATCTTGTAGATGTCTTAGATTGCCAAATGTATCTCGAAGATAGCCAGAGAAGAAATTCCTTGGCAAATCAATGCTGATAAGGTAGGAGGCATTTGAGATAGAAGCTGGAATTTCTCCAACAATTTCATTTCCTGCAAGATAAAAGTATTGAAGTTGTGGAAGCCAAAGAGTTGGTGGAAGCTGGCCTGACAGGCGATTTGTTTGCAGTGACAAACACACCATTGTTGAGCTGTTAAAGATAGCAGAAGGGATTGGACCAGACAGGTTGTTGTCTCCCAAATATAAGTTGTCTAGATTAGGAAGGTTGCTAATCTCGATTGAAATTGTACCTGCCACAAATTCCAAATAACCAACCTTTATTATGTAGCCAAAAGAAATTAAAATTTCCAAGTACTATGCTCTTATATATCTTGAAGCATATCACTTTCAATTTTTTTTATTATAATTTTAAAATTAGTTAGTCACAATAAAAAATTATATAAGAATCGACAATTTATGAATATGAACTTTACATAAAATTTTGATAACGTTCATATAATTATGAATTATAATTAAATAATTATACTACAATGATTGAATGTGAAATCCTTCTCTATAGCCTCCATTAAATAAAAAAAAATACAATAAATTATATATGATTTTGCCTATGTCTACGGGCTTAGTGGTTTGCCCAAATTCGATTTTGGTTATTAAATCCACGTCTGGTTTGATATAATCATATAAGTATGTCCTTGGGTCTAGTTGATTATAAGTAACTCTTTTTTTTTTTTTTTTTTTTCATATTGATGTTAAAGGTTGGGGCCTAGTGGCGAGCTCAGGCTTATGCTAGAATTTTGGAACCCAACTCAAGCTTGCCTAAGCCTAATGGACACGTCTACCACAAACCTTATGCTAGAATTTTACATGTTAAGAAATACATAAACGAGGGTTAAATAATTATTTTATTCACTAAAATAAAAACTAAGAATCTAATAACAAATATTTAGAAAATGAAACAAGCTCACTCAATTTTGAAATTTTTCATTATTTTATTTTTATTCGAAAAATAATCTACTGTGATAAGGCGTGTGAACTGCTAAAGGAATTTTTTTATAATGCGATAATGGATATCTTCGAATTCTGTTTAAACCAAAACCCTTCTCGGACTATTACTCAAATATTTTACTAAAGTGGCTGCAAGTAAACTAAATTTCAAGAAAGGGAAGAAATTGATACCTGTGACGTTATTAAAATTTAAATCAAGAACACTAAGAACAGTTAGGTTCCCTATAAACGATGGAATAGGACCTTTCAACCCATCGTTTGTAAAGCTTAACATCTCCAAACCAATAAGACCACCAATTTCCCTTGGAATTTCACCTGCAAATATCAATGGACAATTAATAGAATATAACAACAATAACAAATTAACTTTTATATCTCATAATTTTTAGATCAATTGTATAAAATATCTAAAAATCATTTTGGATTGTAATTTTGAATATTTGTTCATCATTCATTTCTATAAAAAATAAACAATTAATGAGAATATGCCTTAAAATATAAAAGATAAATTTTAAATGAAAATAAATAGCACCTTCCCCTAAATATTGTTATAGTTGTATATTTTAAATTATTTCGAATTAATGTCTCATTTGAAAATTTTAAAAAATTTAAACCCTTTTTTTTTCAAGATGAAGATAATTTGGAAAAAAATTTATAATAAATAAAAATAAAAAATCAACTTATAGATTTTTTTTTTTTTAATTTTATGTAAAATCACAGTCAGATGACACTATATAAGAAATTAATTGAGCGAGCATCATTTTCTAATAGGCTTTCCTCTTTTTTTTTTTTTGTACATTATAGGTTTTCCTCATTAAAGTCAACATTTGCATACATAAACATATCCCAAATTTTAGGCAAGCACGTTACAAAAGTACCACTTGCTTCAATTTTTCTGACTTTTTGAGTTGCTGTAAAGTCACATGCTCACTTGTATCAATTCTTATTGGTTTAGCTGTGGACAATAGTCAATCAGGTCATTGATGGGACATTAATCTACTATACTTTAGTTTAAAAAAATTTTAAATTGAATTATGTTTCTTCAGGGAAAATGTTTAATAAAATTGAAATTTAATCAATAAATAGAAATTTTGAATATGTGCAATCTTGTATAGAATTTTCACATTTGCCCGGATGCCGAAGCAATACCGGCCTCAGATTACCTTGAAAGTTGTTCCAACCAATGAACAATTGTTTGAGCGCAGTCAAATTCCCGAGTCCTTCAGGCACAGTCTCGTCAAATTGATTGTGAGACAAGAATAAAACTTGTAATCGTTCATGCTTGAATAGAGCCGCTGGAATTTCACCAGAAAATTGGTTCCTATCCAAATAAATCTCTTGTAGTTCAGGAAGGTGATCAAACATATCAGATGGGAGATAACCAGTGAGATTATTAAAGCCAAAATCAATGATTTTTAGAGAAGACATGTTGAGTGGGATGGAGGGTATTGAACCAGTTAGATAATTGATTTTGAATTGAACATCTTGGAGTGAAGATATGTTGAAGATTGAAAAAGGTATGGAACCTGAAATCTGATTATTCTGCAAATATAACATCTTCAAGCTTGGAAGATTTCCATTTTCTCCAGGAATCTGTCCTTTCAGGTTTTTTTTATGCAAATCCAAGATCTACAGCTTTGGCAAATAGCACAAAGAAGATGGGAGAACACCGCTGAAATAGTTATCATGCAGAAACAAGCTTTCAAGTTTAGGGAATGAATCAAACCATGATGGGATTTCCCCAATGAAGTTGTTCTTAGCAAAGCTTATGTATTTCAGCCAATGTAAATGAGTCAATTCGACTCGTAATGAGCCTTGAAAACTATTGTTTTTGATGTCGAGCCATGAAAGAAAAGACAGATTTCCCAAGTGAGGTGGGATAGTTCCAGTAAGACTCATGATAGAAAGACTGAGAGCTGTGACTCTGAGGTGCTTGGATCCACAACTGACACCAATCCAATTGCAAACAGAGGTAGATATAGACCAGTTGGTTGCCAAGAGGTTTTGAGGGTCATGGACATTGGCTTTTAATGCAAGAAGAGCAAATTGGTCTATGGTGATGTTGGGTGATTCCATAGACAAGAAAAAACAATTAAGCAACAGCAATACCAGCATAAGATAAGCAAGGGTGAAACAAGAATTTTTCATGAGTTTCAGTGGGATGAGGAATAGGAAATGGAAGATGCCAGGCAATTGAGAAAGAAATGCTAGTAAACCTAATTACATATTTTGGCTTTAAATATATTATGCATTTTTTATTTTGAAATAGAGGAAATTATAGATTTTTATCCACCCGGTCAAACAAATTAAGTTCAATTGACACCTCTAAAACTCATGATAGGATTTGAACTTGATCTATCCATTTAAATTAAATTTATTATTGAAACATGAATTTTTTTAAAAAAATTAAAATTTAATAAAATATATTATTTATTAATATAAAATATCCTTCGAAAGAGATTAAACTTAAAAAATCATATTTAAAACTCAAACCTAATCGAGTTATGCTCACAAGTTTCGTGAATAATTTAGGTTTAGTGAAAATTATAAATTTGTATCCATCTGGTCAAACAAATTAAGTTCGATTGGCATCTTTAAAATTCATGATCGAATTTGAACTTAATCCATCCATTTAAATTAAATTTATTATTAAAATATGAAAAATATTTTTTAAAATTTAATAAAATATATTATTTATTAATATAAAATATCTTTTAAAAAAGATTAAATTTAAAAATCATGTTTAAAGTTCGACCCAAGCTTGCAAGTTTGGTGGGTAGTTTAGGTTTAGTGGAAATTAGTAGTATTTGTTATTTTCACAGGCGCTATAATTATACAATCTAATAGTCTAATTTCTACGGGGAAGACCTAAATGATTGGTATGAAATTGAGGCAATCAGTTAATCCAAAATTATTTGATAATAATAAGAAAAGAAGTATCATGTATACTATAATTTATACGAAATGATAACAGACTCGGACAAGCCAAGAGTTAATTGTTCTAAAATATAAAAAAAATTTTGAATGAAATTGCAGTCATTTTTTTTTTTTTTCTTGCATGATTTTCAAAGAGGATGTCGTAAGAATCCACATTGGAAAAAGAAGTACTTGGTGGAGTCCCCATGGACTTCAAGTCATATTCAACATTAACATTGGAAAAAGAAGTCCATAGTGGAGCCCCCATTTTCTTCAAGTCATATTCAAATTGAAATTGGATAAATGGCACTCATGCATATGCTACTAGAAGAGCTGATTAATGAAATTAATATTTTATTGAATGGTAAATTGAAATTAATTCCCTCCTCTTTTTCTCCAATTTTTTCACATTAATATTAAAATGGTAATCATAAGACTCATATTATGTTGTTTTGATTTTTTATTTTTTAAAAAAAATTCAAATCCGATACATATTTAAACGGACATGAGTCCAAAGATGAAGATCCTCCCATAGGCCTTGCTTTCTCAATTCAAAGAAAGGGAAAATAAGGCTTTACTCTCCTTTCTAAAATTTATGGATTAATATACCAAATTGCTAACTATTTTTGTTGTAAATCTTATTATTAACTCAATTTTATAATTCTTTTTCGTAAGCATGATTACCGGGTCAGGCTCAAATGATTTTTTGTAATCTGTGCGCAAGGTCTAGGTCAGCCCAATTCATCAAATCTGAAAGACTAAATTTTTTGTTAAAAGAAATAAATTTTAATATTTTTAAATATATTTTAAATTAGAGTTAAGTAAAGACATTTTTTCTTAATTAAAGAACATCTAAGGCCCAATTTTAATAAGCAATCTAATTCGTGGACAAGTCTAATTACATTTAGGTATTGTTTGGTATGGGACGATTATTTCAAAAATTATGGTGATTTAAATATGATAATTAAATCATTATGTTTGATAAGTACTTGATGATTTTAGATGATAATGATTTTAAATCATCAAAAATAATCAAATCACCGTATTAAAAGATGATATAATTCTTATCTAAAAAAATAAAAAACTTTAATTATCAAGATAAAGTGACTTGTACAATTAATAATAGTTAATATTATCAAATGATAATATCACCTTGATAATATAATCACTAATGATAATATTAACAAATGATAATATCACCTACCTTTGATCTTTTAATTTCTTAAATTAAGACTTTATTTTCGATCAATCAAATAATCTAGCCCAATAATAATAATCATTGTCGCAATAGATTTCTTTCTATGTTAATAATACGAAGAACAATTCAAGAAATTAGTTATCATTAAATCTTTATAAATAATGCTCGACTTTGAAATTCAAACATATTTTTATTTTTATTCAAATAAAATACCAAGATCACTTATTTTGCTTGCAATGTAACTCAACTTAGCCACAACGACACTTATTTCCCTTGATATGTAGCTCAACTTAGCCAGAACGACCAGGTGCAAATCCAGCCCTTCCATTGGCATCATCATAGACAACCTGTTAGCCCTTCTGTCGAAAATTTCCTAGGATCATCACATCATTATTATCGTCATTTTCTGCAAACGCCAGACATGCTTGAGATACCTTGTTAAAATACAAAATCTCAGTAGCATCAATAGGTTTCAACACCCCCATCGAAGTATAAGCTGATCGTTGGCATTACAACAGTAGAATTACAACTAAAATCAAAGCATGTCCCTAGATTTTCGAACGCCAGTGCCTTTGGATACTTGGTCATCCTTACTTCAAAAGCTTTTCGGACTCTAGAATAGGCTGCTGGAGGGAGACGGGTGATCAAAGATGCCGAATCAATGACCGTGCCAGAAGTCGAAAAAACTGACCTATCAATGGATAGTCTCTCGCTCCCCACCCCTATATCGACCATATCAAGACCGTAATAATGTATTCCTTCGAATGATTTTGACATGGGAGTAAATTTAATCGAACTTGGGAGGTTTGCATTACCAAATTTTAGGAATCCGGTCGATTTATCGCTTGGTGGTAAACAGTAAGAGAAAATTTTATGGTAATTGTTAGCAGTTTGGGATACTATGGAAAACCATCCGCGACCAAGTCCTAATGCCCCAGCTGCTCGTCCGCCGTTTGGGAAATGGTCTCTTTGGCCGCAGCTAAATAAGAATCCTTGGAACACATCTGAAGATGTTATGCGTAAGGTTTCTTGTGCCAGAAAGCCAGTGGAAAACGTTGTATTGGAGTAGGTAACGCCATACAAACATGTTGAAGAGGAAGAGCAACCCTGTTGCATACCTACAATTATAGTATCAATTGTTATATTATCAAAAGAATATGTACTTGAAATCAAAATTATAAGTAGTCACTGTGTTTCAATTTTAATGTGTATGTTTAAATCGGCATAAAGATTAAAAACAGGCTTTGAATTTTTTATAGTTTTTAATTTTTAAAGTAAAATGTTGATAAACAATAACTTTTAATTAAAAAAGTTTTAAAAAATAAAAATTAATATGAAATGTAAATAAAGAGTTGTATGTAGAGGTGTTTATGGGCCAAGCAAATCCGGTTGACACTTCTAAAACCTTGTCCAAGATCTAATCCATAAATGAAAATCTTTTTAAATAAAATATTTTGAAAATATAAAAAAAATATTAATATTAATATTAAAAAATTGTGTTAATATTTTTAAATATATTTTAAAATTAAATTAAATTAAATTAATTATTTAATCTAAAAAAAGAAATGACCATTCAACCTAAACCCGGTAGAGTGACTTTGAAATTTGTTAATTAATCAATTCTAAATCATCATTACCTTCCGGAGAAATTTTATTGCACGTTGCTGAGGGGCACTGAATGTTGGTATAGGATGATGACTTGGACGGATTGAATATTGGTTCATTTTGGTCATAGCAATATTCTAGGCATGGCTGACATTGAGTCCAAGTTAATTGATTAGCAGTGTCAAACACCAGTGAAAGCTGCGTCTTGGAGGAGCCAAAGCCCATGGTGATTTGGTATTTTCCTGTGCCTATTGAGATTGCTGGTTGGCTTTGAAGTGATGTCTTGTCCAAGGAATTTAGGGATAGCATGGAGTGGATTGAATCAGCTCGGGCTTGGTCTTGGCGGAGAATTTCAGCACGAGAGGGAGCAATATTTGCTTTGTCTTGGTTCAGTCGTCGAGAGCATGGGCCATGCTTGTTATGATCGGTAATGTTGATCTTTCGTTGATAACTGAAAAACATAAACATAACTCAAGAAATTAACATTTAAATTGTTTCTCCACTCTAAATTATTTTGCATGATTTATCTATGAAATCACGATAATCTTTTTCCTTCTTATTTTGCATAAATGAAAGCAATTTGTTTCGATTAAAAATCTCACTTGAAACTAAAAAGAAAATCTCATTCTGCTAATTACCCCCCATTTCGAATTGTTTTTTCATAATATATTTGTCAAAATTGACGCAAAATATTAAGAAAAATACTTATATTTTAAGTTATTTTATATTTAAATTTTAATTTTTTATAAAATCCATATTCAATAATGTTTAATGTCAAGAAAATAATATCAAATATCAACAGAGTAATAAGACAGTACATTCGAATTAGGCCCGAAAAAGTAGAGGAACAATGATAAAGGGACAGAAACAGTATTTTACTATGGTGACCTTATTAAATGTTATGAGTGCTAATAAATGAACCTTTGGTAGATGATATGCAAACAGTTGATGGCAGTAGAGAACTGGTTTGAACAGTGTGACTATGATGAAGATCCTTCAGTTCTTGAGTAGTTGTTTTTCCTTGAAAGGCATAACTGTTCTTTGAACAGCAGAGAAGCAAGAAAAAAAAGAGACAAGCTGAGTGGAGGAATACAAACAAGTTGGAGAATAAGTAAGTGGCCATGGACCATAAATCTATGGCTCTTTGTATTGTTTAAAACTTGGAAACAATTGCTTGTTTGTTACTTTTTATAGAAAATATTAACACTATTTTTATCATTAGATTAACAAATTTTCATCTTTATATTTTTTTTCATTTTTTTATCATGCAAAATCTAAATGTTAATTTGTGAAAAACATATATTTTTACATATTTTGTCATTTTATGTGATTTTTTTATAATTTTATTAATTGAGTT